GGGGAAAAAATGTGAGTGTGCTTATACCACCAGATGACAGGTGCAACAAAAATTAAAACTGGAAATGAGTAATCCAGGTGGCGCTGGTCACCGCCTAATTATTTTAATGCTTTCACATTTGCCACTACATACAAATCTTGCACACAGATATTTTCAGCGCACAATTGATACTGTACATTCAACACAGATCGCATACAAATACGACGAAAACACGTGACACGTTTACTCTAATCGGTAACTCCCATGACTGCCTATGAGTGTTTTATACTGACCATTTGAGTGCGCAAACTTGTCGTCGTGTATTACCACCTCAGTGAATAATGTTGCAAATATAGTGCTCTTTTCGCACCAATGTCCTTCCTTAAGAAAGTTTTCAAACAATTCGAGGCTTCTGTGTCTTAAAAGAAAAAAAAAAAGTTAGGCGCGGAAATTATTTGCGACAGTCAATGAACAATTCCCCCCACCGGTTCTCAGCATCCATATTCGCTTCCCCGAATAGCAGCCGCGAACCACCTCTCTCGTCGCATAACCTAATCAAGAATTAAAACGAAGACGGTCGCCGTCGGCGAGAGACTGCTTTCTTTTCGCCACCCGCAGCGAACGAAGGCTCTAATTGACGGCGAGTACGACGGCAGCTGCATTGCATTCGCCCGTGGAGCGACAGAAATGCATGCAAAATTAATACCGCATGCAGCTCGCAACTTAATTTGTCTGTAGTCCAGTGAAGAGTGCTCACGTTTCTGGGGAAGACATAAATCGAATTCAAAAAGACTCGTAGAGTTCAAAAACATTATTTTTAAGCAGTCCTAAAACTAGATACGCTATTTACGACGCATACCAACGGTCGTGACAGGTCCCAATCAAGGACAGGTCAATCAGAATCATTCAACCACCGAGTACACAGAGAACGTGAAGAAGGCGTTCCCAGTGTCTAGTAGGATCAAAGCAGCGAGGCTTCTGGAACGGCGAAATATATGCCACTGAACCGGCCTAACGACCGCCGTGGATGGCGTATCTGGTGACGAGCGGACGCTCGTCTCCGACTCGTTAGGACTATCTTCGGTACAGCCCACGTCCACACACACTCGTCGAGCTGAGCGCACGAACGTCAATTATGCCCTCCAACACGGGAACGAGAGAACAGAACGGTACAGACTGCAAAAACGGCAGGTTCGGATCGCAGAAATGATCGTATCGCAAAATCCGACTGGTCCCAACCTGCTTGTCGTACAATCTTGCCAAGCGTCTCTTGCGAAAAAAAAAACATATATTTAAAAAAATAAAACGATAAATAACCGAAACACTTTTTTGGGGGGGAACATTTTAAGCACGTGATGTGTGCTTATTTTAATCTGAGTGAAAACCAAGATGAACATATCAACGCTTTTTTTTTAAAGAATGCAAACGCGAAGGAAAGTCAGAAGACTCATGGTCGTTGCCTCAACAATGGCTGCCGCCTGACTGCGTTCGCGGCAGCGCTGGCTTCTCCGACATACTGGAACCAACGTTGACTGGAATGGAGGCGACGATCATTTTAAAGTCAGCTCCAACCTTTAAACATACTCCCTCCCACAATATTTGATGCTACGATTGTGTGTGGCTATCCCCCCTCCCCTCCCTCTCCCCTCCTCCCCCCCCCCCCCCCCCCCCCCCCGCGTTCTGAAGCAATAAGTGCGTCGCTCAAGCTGGCAATCGTCGATGCAGCCGATGCAGCAGGCGCCGCCATCTTGCCCGCGTCTCTTCGGTAGCAACGTTCAGAAAAGGGTAGTAATGGCTGCAGTTACTAGCTTTATGCTATATATACACGAACTCAACTCACCTACGTCACGCCGCGGTGGTGGCGCGTCGGGCGCACTTCCGATCTGGGGAGGTAGGCAGAAGTCGCTGTGCAAGACATGCATTCCTGTGTTCCTTTGGAAGAAACCAGACAAAAACCCTGCCTTCTCGTCAAAATGCTGTGACGGGTGCTGTACCAAGAGAGTCTGGAAAGGTTTGACGATCAGTTTTCATGTGTTTCTGCCCCCTCCGTTCGTCCGAGAACATGGATAGTAGCCGTGAAAAGGGCAAACCAGTCGCTGTCGAACTACGATTGCTTGTGCGGGCAACACTTTGTGGACGCCAGATGTATTTGCTTTATTCCAACGTGCATGAACGTGAGAAAACCGCCAAGTTGTCCGGACCACCGATGGGTTCAGTGCGTCTTCAAATTCACACGGCCGCATGATCGTTCGAACTTGTCTGCTTTTTGTCGTCTGCTCGTTCAAGCAAAAGTGGCCCGTATACACCAAACATTGACCGGGTGATTGCAGTAAGAGGTGATTTCAGACCTCAAAAGACTTAAGTATAGCTCGGTGTAAGCATTATACACAAGATGCTGATCATTGGTACCGGTGGTCATCACCGAATTGTTACACTTGGTCTGTTTCCGCTTCCGGGTTTCAGTATCGACGTCGATCATCGCCGCTACCTTCTACACTTTTGCAGCACGAGCGACGTCGCGACCGAAAATAGCTACAGGAATCTCATCATGGTTTTGGCGGCCATTCTGCGGCGTTCAAGCGGATGAATCGCCGCACGTCAAATTATTTATATAAAGTTTAGCGGCGTAACGAGCCTTGATAATATCGCTCAGGCGATTAAAGTGGTAAGACATTGCGATGAGGACGTAGAATCGATAATTCCCACGGGAAAACGAGTATGCAGACCCACACAGACGCCGACAACGTGACATTCTAATGGTTTGTTGACGCGGGACGCGGTGCTCCTTGCCCGTACACCATTGCGCATGCGTTCGAACTGTCGTCTGCTCTTTCAAACTTGTCTGCTTTTCTTCGTCAGCTCGTTCAAACGACACCGGCCCGTCAACCAAACGTTGACCTGGTAATTGCGATAAGAACTAAGTGCAGGCCTCAAAACACGTTTGAAGGTGGTTGGGGTAAGTAGGCTAAGTGTAAACAGATACAAGAAGATGTTGATAATTTTTTCCAGTGGCCATCACCGACTTGTAATGCCCGATTCTACTTGCGGTTTTCAGTATCAACGTCCACTATCTCAGCTACGGTCCACGCTTTTTTAGCCCGAGTGACGTCGCGAATGAAAATAGCGAGCAGAATCTCATCGTGGGAGTCAGGCTTTAGCGCCCATTCTGCGGCGTCCACGTGAAATGAATCGCCGCACGTCACATTATTCACGCAAAGTTTTGCCTCGTTATTTTCGCTGAAGCTGCTGAAGTAGTCAGACAGTGTTAGGAGGACGTAGAATCAACAATTCCAACGCAAAAAAAGAGCAAGGGGACTCCCACCGACGTCGACAACAACACTATTCAATGGTTTGTTTATGGGCGACGGCGGGCTTCTTGCCCACCATCCACTGCGCATGCGCGGCGCCGCTGGCGTCCGCTAGGGGCGCTCCGGTTTGTTTGTAAACATGAGTTGGCGTATATATTTTTTTAAGAGTGTGGGCAACCTATCAGGTAGCACTTTCATCCCAAGGGTTCTTTTTTGTTTTTTTCGGATTTTAGTTGGTTTTAAATTGTGTTCGCAAACACGCCCAGGCGATTTCGACCAGTGGCGTTTCCTCGAGTTTTCGCCGGCAACCCCGAATAATGGTCGAACTTACCCTGTCTGTGAATTGGCCGTCGCCCGATCGCTGCTGCGAGTGCAATGTACAGGGCGCAGTTCTGACGTGCTTCCGTTTCAGGCTGAACGAGGTGGGCTTTTACCAATATAGGTATACATTGGGAAGCCCAGGGAAGGCTAGGGAAGTCTAGACATAGACTGTCACCTTTTTTTCACTATAGTCGTTGAAAACTTAAGAAACGAAGGGCGTGGCCACACCTGGCCACCCTATCATCGTTCAGTAGCCAGCGATATTGCGGCAGCATCTGAGAAGAACGCCAAAGAACTGATCACAAAACAAGAAAGGCGATTACATTAGGTCAATCACTGCGTTTCTTAATTTGTCGATGACTGCAGGAAGTATTTAGCTAATGTTTATACAACGCTGCGTTGGGTGATTAGGTTCGATTGTAATAAGCATTACAGACGAGGAACAAAAAGGGCTTCCAGTCGAAGGTACGCCAGTAAAAGTTGCCGTAAATAGATTACGACGACAGAGCACGAAAAACACTGGCGTTCGTACGCAAAAACGGAAACCCTATGATTTAAAAAAAGAAAAGCCTTGACGAGTGATTTAGTTTTAGTGCTCTAATCTAAAAGGGTAGGTTAGACGTTTAGGTCTAAATTTCATTGGTACCCCCAAACGTAGTAGATTCAATTGGAGGTAGGAGTCACACTAAACCCGATGTCACACTGCTTATACCAGTGTCCCACTAGAGCGACAGACAGAAACAAACGACAGCGACAAGCCTCAAACCAGAGTCTTTCGCGATTTGAAAGGATTTGTAGAATAAAGGAGGCTATGCTCAAGCACGAGCATTATGCACGCGAGAATATCTTTGGCAGGCTTGCAATCGCTCGTGCTTACTTCACAAGCACCGAATGACTATAGACGCCTGCCTAAGGTACCATCGCAAGCATGCTGCATGGGTTTGAGGCTTGTCGCTGTCCTTTGTTTCTGTCTGTCGCTCTAGTGGGACACGGGCATTATACGTCATGCAAATGACGCTATGCAAACAGAATCGAAGGCGCGTCACCACGAGATACGTGTTTCAAATGCCGCCTGGCAAGTTAAAAGTTAAACTTGGTACGCAGCATTCGAACCACGGATATTGTAGTGACTCGTGTTTGCAGGCTGTATTTTGTAATATGTACGAGCAGCGTGGCACCCGGCTTAAGGGCTCCGCTGAAATGCACGCGCAAAAACGTTTATTTTCAACGATAATAAACGTTTACTAAAACACCCACGCCGTATCTAGTCTTTCAACTCTTGAACGTTTGAGCTGATCCCTGTCCGCGTTTGTGATTTTATAGGGGTATGTTAGGGTACAACGCCCTTTTAGAGTCAAACAACTCTCATGGTGTCCATTACACCTTTTCCAGGTTCCAAGTACGCGCTGCTCCCATCCGGAGAACTGTACATCCGGGAAACGGACCAGCAGGACGGGTTTCGGACGTATCGCTGCCAGACTCGTCACCGTCTTACAGGAGCCGTGTCCCAAAGCGTCACCGTGGGACAACTCATTCTCACTGGTGGGTGATCGGTAGCCCAGTCCCCGCTCGCCGACTGCATGCATCACCGTCTACTCTTATATCTGTTGGTTGTCGAAGACAGACAGAGCACCCGTCGAATTTGGTTCTACCGTGTGACAAGTCACACGAAGCAGGATTGGTTTCCCAGTTCGTTTAAAGTGCGTTACCACTGGGATGGGCTAAGTGAATAGATCAGACTTAAAGGGGGAAGGAGGGGGGGGGGGGGGGGGGCGTCCATTAAGTTATCACTCTCCGCATCCTTATAGGTTTTGGTTTCATCGACTTCGAAGAAATCACTTTTGGAATTAATCTAAAATTCGTAAGGCACAACCAGCGCAATCGCCTTTTTTTTTCTTTTTTGTCTTGCAGTGCGCCGATGAACAAATTTTTAAAATGACAACAAATAGAAACGTAAATTATAAACTTCATTAAATAAAAGTTTATTTTCATAAACAAAAAAAAATGTGAAGGTAAAAATAATTTTATAGTTGTTGCTGTCCGACGTCTATAATGTTTTTCACCCTAAATCAAAGTTATGTACAAAAAAAAAAAAACAAAAAAAAAACAAAGCGGTCATATAAGATGACGTAATAAGGCAGGCGAGCTGGTTAAAGTTCAGCAATTCTGAAGCCCAAGACGGAGGCTACAAAGAGGGGACAAGCACAAGACGTCTCGATAGAGACGCCTTGTGTTTCTCCCCTCTTTGTAGCCTCCGTCTTGAGTTTTAGAAATGTTTAACCTACGTACGGTCTAAGAAAACGCCTGGGAGTCTACTTTTCTGCAGAACACGAATACAGCCGATCACAGCGAACAATAAAAGTTAATGACAAACCGTATAATACGATTAGAACTGTAAAACACAATTTCCGCAGGTACAACGGGCCACTGAAATGTCATGCATACTTTTTTTGTTGTCTAATTGTATTTCGAGCGTCGTCGTTCGCTCGGTTGCTTCTACAGTTCGCCCTGATTGGCTGTGTTTTGTGCAAAAGTGAACTCACGAGCGTCTTTTTTGTTTAAGTGTATACAGACTACAGGCTGCAATCGCGAAAGGCAGGGCGCTGTCTCTGCGTTCGATTGAAGGAGCAGGAGGATGAATCCGCGCACAGAAAAACAGCGAACGCAGTTACGGCGCGCTTTCGACACTGCCTTGATTGGTCCCTGGCCTCGTAATAGAAGAGTTTTGTATTGCGTATAAGAGCACGTGCGAGCGCTGTGCGTTTGCGTTAGTGTTGCGTGCTCCACGCGGTGCATGCGCGTGTTCGCCCCGTGCCAATCCAAGACCGCAGGTTGGGCGCCGCGCACGAGCCGTTTGGAACACGCAACGCTAACGCAGACGCGCAGTGCTTGCGTTCCTTCGAATACGCGATGATAGGGAGTTTTAGAATAACGTACGCGATTTTAGCGCACACTAGTGCTAAATTTAGTTCTTGCGATAGCGCAAGCTACGCAACAGAGTTTTAGAATACCGTTTCTCCGCCGCGACACCAAAGCCAAAGCATCTCGCGCTTGCAACGCCAAAAAGATACAGTCACTATTTTTATTTCACACACAAAATAACGTAACTTAGGACGAAACAAGTTTTTTTTTTTTTTTATGGTTCAGAATAACAATTTAGATTTGTTTAAACGTGAGAATGCGACGCGAGCGGTATACCAGTCGTGTCCGCTTGCTCGCCTCGGCAAGAGAGGTCTCGTGTAGTGACCTTCGCACACCGTACCTTCGCCGAGAAATGTTTCCGCGTCGCAAGCATCATGTTGCCCACCTTACTGGGTTTTTCAAACCGAGTCCAATGTCGTCCCGTATTGAAAATCGCAGTCGCGAGAATGCCGCTGACGTCGCGCTCACAACGCCGCCAAAGCAGCCGCAGCCATGGTCCTGGGAGCCGCCATTGTTTTAACTGTGCTCGTCTTGGCTTTAGGCAACTTCTGATCACGAATACTTCTTGGAGGAGCGCAAAGACTCTTTCCCGTACGCACGAAATTCCTCAAAAATAGCGTACGCTAAAATAGCGCACGCAAAGCGAGAAACGTGGTTAGCGTTCGGCGCATGCGCAATGGCGACGATGCTTATCTTTGCGTAGGCAAAGCTTTAGCGTGCGCTATTTTAAAACTCTCTAATAGAACTCACTAACGTTGCTTGAGCTCTGACGTGGGGTAAAACGACATAATGCCCTTCTTGTTTGTTTGTTTTTTGTTTTGTTTTTTCTTGATGGGACATCATGAATGCAAGGATTCTCTTTCAAGACGTGTGTTAAGAATTAATTAGATCGGCGACCTGGATATCTTATTTATAACGAAAAAAAAACATTTGGAATCGAATGCTTTATATTACATGAAATAATTATAATTTCATAAAAAGCCGCGTCATTTTAAATGCAAGAACCGCTAGGAAACGAAATGTAAAAAAAAAAAACGCCTTTTGATATATTTTTGTTTTTACAAATCTAAAACTACCTTGCTTATGAAGTGCCCACGGGACTATTAAAAATATAGCAAGAAAACCTTGCACCACGTGAAACTCAATCGTAATCAGTCCATGAAATGTGTTTTGTAAGATTTGTTTTTCGTAAGCAGGGTTTCAAAATTCGCATAAAGGGAAGCACAGCGACACAACCACTGAGATCATCAAATTGCCTCCTCCTACCTAAATAAGAAAAAAAATATATCTACAAGCAAGGTTACTTTGAACAGAAAGCGAGGATGTGCTTAGAAAACGCGTTTCCAAAGGAACACGAAATGCATTTCAGGCGTCCATGTTTCTTCCCAGCGGCAACCTATACAACTTCGCTCGATTGAAGGCCATGAAAAGGATAAAACTCTAAACGAGCCTTTCTATGAAACCCTGAACTTTGAAAGCCGGCAATTATATTTTCGTCGGAGAGTCTTCACTAAGGTCGAAAGTAAAAAAATGAAAAAAAAAAGGCTCCGAGCACGGGCTTCCGCCCATTTGAAGGATGAGGGAAAGGCACGGAATACAGGAACTAAAAGCAAAGAAAATGTAATGATGATAATAAGATGGAATACCCCTACGGGCGTGTTAACACCTACCATTAAGGATACTTTTTTTGTGTGTATTCCATAGTTATTTTTTGGTACTTTTATGGTTTTCGTATCCTTCGATATTTCGTGAAATACTATTAATGTTGAGTAATAACTTACAAGGGCGCTGTGGGGACCTACGTGGTTGGCACATCCAAAACACGAAATTACATTTTACATGGATGCGAAAATGAGAAATAAAAATAAGGAATAGAATATCTTGGGACGCGGTGTTAAAATGGCGTGATCCCCTTGAATTTCATACGCGGGGAGGTGGGCCCAAAGTCATCGGAAAAGAAGAGGAGGCATCTACTCTGCGTTTATACGATAGACAAAAGTGAATAAATTTTAAATTAGCTGCGTGGCCATTATTATAGGACACATTTAAAGACGACATGCGTCGCATTGCTTCCCTTATTACACTCTAAAAAAAGCTCGTGCGTGTACTTTCCCGCACAGTACTTGGAGAGCCAATCACCGTAATACGGAGGCAGCTCAGCGAATGACACTGCCGAAACATATGTTTAGACCAAAAAACGCAGTCTGAGTTGTGGCATTAAGCAATGCAAACGTGGCGTTTTGCATTGCTTAAAGTCACAACCCAGACTGCGTTTTTTGGTCTAAACATATGTTTCCGCATCGTCATTCGCCGAGCTGCCTTCGTAAGTTTCCATGATTGGCTCTTCGAGTGTTGTGTGGGAAAGTGGACGCACGGGCTTTTTTAAGAGTGTATATACTTAACAAAACTTCTCTTAAATTTAAATGGTAAGACATAGCCCTTTCTACCTATGATCAAATGATCTATTTACCCGCAGAGGTGTGTTGGACACTTTAAGCCTGGAGGAAAAAAACACTAGCTCGATTATGCTGAAAAAGATCGGGGGGCATAACATGCGTCAAGCTACCATACAAATGAACTCTGAGGGATGTATACATGCTGTCTGTGTGCGATAGTCGGTGGGGCTGATGTGTGCGGGGCTGGCGCAGCCACACGCTTTATCCGAATGGTGGCTCAACACATTTTTGTCAGCAGGCTTGACGGTGACAACGCAGGGAAAACCAAAGGTTCGACTTTATAAACCAACTGTTGGCGGTTCCTTTACGCGCCTGCTTCACTTAGTTTGGTCGGTATAGTATCTGGCATGGGATCACTTGGCCCCAATCGCAATTCCCGTCGTAAGTATTCTAGTATTCGTGTACTATGAACGCGATATAGTCTATATATTTTAGCTACGTGCTACGCTCGATCGTTACAACCGAGCGTTACACTTTCGCACAGAAATAAGTGTATGCTCATATTCTGTTTAAAAAGAAAAAAGAAAGAAACCGGCTGGGACAAAAATGAAGACGATTCAAGGTTCCGTGCACGTTTGACAGAGCAACACGTGATGTGGCGTTCTCCCTTGACACCAGCCTGGGTTGTTCGGGAACTCCGCCTAACAACAATCCACAACCGCGGGGTAGGCATTGTACGCATCCGCATGCAGACGAGGCATCGTGTCAGACGAGCAATTGGTAACCTGCAGACTGGAATCAGAGACCCCATAGTTGCACAGCTGCTTTCGAAATGCAGCCCGCAGGTGAGAGACTGGTAGACTATTCTCAACCCATTCGCCTGCCCGCATTGTTTTCGAAGTGGTCGAAACCGGAAGCGCGTCGAACGAAGTTAAGCAGAGGTTTGCGATTTCGGCGTCCGAGTTGTGTCCGTCTTCTGCGTAGCATAAAAACACGTTGGGAAATGTGCATCTGTGCAGGTGTGCTCATGGTGATGCCCGCATTGTTCTCGGATGGCTTGCTGGGGTTTTAGGTAAAGCTTTCCGCTGGGCAGAACTGACTTTTAAAATATTTTGTTAACGTTTTAGTTTAGGCGATTAGCCCTTTCTTTAGGGGTGGAATGATACCTACGAGAGGAAACTAAATTTAAAGGTTTTATATATCAGGCTAAAGATGACAAAAATA